ATAGAACCAATGTTTAATTCTTAGCTTTCTGCCCAACAGTGCCTGGATTCAGTCAAATGATGGCCCACACTCAAGGGTACAGTATGGGTTAAGTTAGCTTGTCATTGAATCATGGGTTGTCATTAAAATGTGGATGATTATGCTTGAACCTAACCAAAAAAAAAAAAAAAACCAAACCATGGTGAACTACCCACAGGTCACAACCCAGGAACAGACTATGGGTTCTCTCCATGATTTGTTCATGTTAAGAAACCGTGGCTTGTTAACACACTTGGGTTTAGACAACATGCTAGCCTGGGTTTCAACAACAGCCCAAGCTCTTGAGTGTGGCTTGTCCTGACCCCACTCACTGTCAGAATTAATACTTTGGCTGCGTATGGGACCTTTCTGTATAGCCATCAAGCTGCACGACAACTCCAAACTGCTGTTGGCAAGGAAGACTAGGTTGTTGCCAGATAATGATCATGTGCTTCTTTTTCATCCTTCCTACCTCAGTCAAAAGACAAACACTGCTCAGAGCCTTAAAGCAAGCATGACAATTCTGAACAAAGATGCATTTTCTGTTACAGGCAAAGTGCTATTTGATGGTTCTGTACTCTTCCAAATGAGATGCAAATTGCTGACACTATGTTATTATGTTGCTGATGGTATGACATTAGCATATACAAATTAGCTGCAGTCCCCTGGCTCATAATGAGTTGTGGCTCATAATTGTGTGTGTGTGTGTGGCAGGGGGAACCCAACTCAGCCTGCTTTATGACCATAACATCATTGACTCTGCAGTTACAAATAAAAGTAGCACCCTAAGAATAGACATTTCATTCCCCTGCTGCTCTCCTCTCTCGATAAGAAGCCTGTGCCCTTGTGGAGTTTTCAGCAGTGCACAGCATTGCTCCTCAGTCCAGCTGGTGCAGGGTTTATTTAGACACAATCTTCATAAATGTGAGCTTAAAAATAACCTGCCAGACACAGGTGCAGCTTCTTGCTTTAATTGGCCTCCAGGCCCATGGTTTGCAGGCATCTTGTCTGAAGGAAGGAAGGACAAGGAAGTGATTTGAAACATTAAACAAAGAGCTCTAGCAAAACCTGCTTTGAATAGACAAACCTCTGGCTCCGTGTTTGTTGACTGCTGTGCTTTAATTAGGGCAGAGATGTGGTCTGCAGGACTCAAGAAAGAAAACACAGTCAGTGGCGCAACTGCTGAGGCTGGCCTGGGTTGTAATGTAAAGAAAGGCACCAAATCCAATTAACAGCTTAGGAATTCTCTTCTTATCTGCTATTAAGAAAGAAAACCGGATCCTACCCTGATTTTCATCCATTTTAGCCAACTGGTAGCCTTATAATAGAGCAGGTTAGCACCCCCTATTGGCCTGCAAGGCTTGTGATTTCCATTTCCGGTTTTCTTTGCGTGTCTGTTATCTACGACTAGGCCTGTTGCTCTTGAGAGCCGGATACTGAAGCTCAGAATCTTACCATGCTGCTATCAGCTCGCGGGTGGAGCAGGAAATGGAAATGTGACATATTTGTGGTGTCGCCGTTAAGAGCGTGGGACTGGGACTCAGGTGATTTGGATGCTAGTCCCCGCTCAGCTATAGAGCCACCTGGGTGGCTGTGAACCTGTCCAGGCTCTCCACCCAACCTATCTCACAGGGTTGTTGTGGAGATAAGACTGAGAGCAGGAGGAGGAGAATGATGTATAAGCTGCTTTGAATTACAAGTTTTATTCTAGATTAATGTGATCGCTATAGTATTGGTTATCATACAGCTTTCCAGTGACAGGGATATTTTTATTTCCTCTTATTGCAGAAATGAAGACAACAGTCTCAAGTACTTTCTTAGGAACAATAGTCCAGTTGCTTGGTTGATTTCCCATCACTGGAAGCTAATGACCTGGTTTGCACATAAGGACCACCTATGGGTTGTTTAATGCATAGGGATACATGAGAATTCTGGGGCAGGGCAGGGGAACCTTTCTGTAGTTTTCTAGTTCTGCTCTGGCAGATATCATTCCATTTCCCCCTTCTGGCATCAGCTCACGCTATGGTGAATCAATCCGGTATGTGGATTTGGGATGGGGGATTTTTGATAGCAGCAGTTTGCACAAATTAAATCTTTCAGGAATCTTGAAATTTGCACAGAGAGGGTCATAATTGTGTGTGTGCTGCTGGATTGTTCCTCTGCCTGTTTGCAGTCCTTATCTATCTATATATAATGATTTAGTCCTAGTCTTTAATTATCAAACTACTTATCAATTGCATCCTCCATTTCAGTCTTTCCCCTGTAAAGCTGGGGAGGGGGGTATGAAACTGACACATTCTTTAACAAGTAGGGAATTTAGTTCTTCAGGGCTAAAAAAAATAATTGACAAGTATATTTACAAGAGGGGAATATGCATCTGTGGCACTACAAGTTTGCCACTTTAAAAAACAACAACAACAACAGTGCTATTTGCCTGTATTTCAAGATTCTCTCCTCAGTTCAATTTGCACAGATTATAAACTGCACAAATTTCAGGGCCCGTAGAAAAATGTGCAGTCCATTTCCAGAATCAGAAAATAAAATCTGCTTCAATCTGCTGCCACTTCCCAGAATGGAAACACTGCAGAATCCCATCAAGCTTAAACCAAATAAAATGCCAAGTGTCCCTGCCTGCTGTCATTACATGGGAACTGCCCCAGCATGTGAGATGCAATGCTGATCAGAGTTTGGGAGGTAAGATCCTCCAGTTAGTGGGAGAGCAGGAGAACAAGTTCATAGTGGATAAGGGAATGCTCTGAGTTAACTTAAACCAGGGGTGAGGAATCTGTGGCCCTCTAGATACTGTTGGACTCCAACTCCCATCAGCCCCAGCCAGCAGTCAGAGATGTTGGGGTTTACATGAGTGGAGCCGGCTGGAGCCAGGGGTCAGACTAGATGGCTCAGGAGGCCCCTTCTGACTTACTCTTTTCCCTATGTGTCCTAATAATTTCTAGAGGGTCACAAGATCTCCATCCCAGCTCGAAGTCTTAGGAATAGGAAGTTGCTTCCATGTAGTGCAGTATTGTCAACTCGAACTGACAGTGGTTGTCCAGAATTTTCCGAATCACCTGCACCCTGCTGCTTTTCATCGGAGATGCTAGGAGTGTACCTGACACCATCCACATGAAAAATCCACGCTCTACTTGTGAGCTATGACACATACTAGAAACCTGCATATGTCTCCACACTGCCAGCAATCCTTTAGTCAAAGGGTAACCTATTCCTCCAGTTCCTCTTTAAATCTCTTTAAAATGATGGTGCCAATTCTTGAAGTTCTCTTAATTTGCAATGGCACCGTTCAGATAAAGGTTTACCACTGCATTTGCTGTTCATGAAAAATAAGGCCTCATGCTTCTGCTGCAGTATCAGCAATCTTTCCAGCACCACAAAATGCAGGGAAAAATTACACTACAGCTAATTTAATGATTAAAATTTATGGATGGTGTGAACCATTTTGCCAATTCGTGGCTTGTTTTGGTTGTGCAAAATACCTGTGGTACCATCATTTATTGATGTATAAGAATCAATATTCTTGTTTATTGATCTATAAGGATCAATAAATGAGGTCCTACCAAGCTGTATTCTCTGTGCAGTAGCACCTCCATATTCGATTTAGGAACTCTAGTTTAGGAAGCAAGGAAAAATGAGACGCTCTTGCTCAAGGGTTTGCACGCTGAGGGCTTGTGCCACACTTGGCATATGTGTGCGTTTGTGGCCAGTCCCAGGTCCTTGGCTCATGATGCCCCTGAGGCAGGTATTTATTGCATGGGTACATGCATTGTATTTTAGGTGTGAATACAAAACCTTTTATAACTACCTCTTAACAGACGGGGTTAAATCCAATGTTGTGCTTGAAGGAGTCTGCTAGCATGATGGGACTGTCTTTTTTCCTCCCCACCTTCAGCCTCTGATCTGCCTGGAAGCTTCCCTTCTGGAGCAGATTTTGAGGGTGTACAGGAGGAAAGAAGGGGCCTTCCAGTTCTGCTCCTGATGGGACTGCTTCGGTCAGCAAAATGACACCACTGGAGACAACCCTTAAAAGCCAAATCCAAACAGAATTTGGCAGGCTAAGGTCTATTGCATACAGTCGCTCAAAACCGAACCCTAACCTATTCTTATTTACGGGGGAGATTTAAGGAATAGTGATATGATACAGATTAAAGGGCCCTGCAATCTACTCAGCGTGTTAGAATACAACTGATCATTCTGTTTCAGCAAAATATGCATGGGAAATGCTTCAAGTGCCTGTAATCAGAGTTAACTAACTTTGACAAAAGTTCCACCTTTAATATTTTTAAAGCATTTCTTCTGATGCAGACATTTCAGAATGGAAAAGTTTGGAGTAGAAATTTCAAAATGTGTTCAGCTTTTCCTGTGAAATACATTTTTCGTTTATTTATTTGTTACAACACAGCTTGCTTACTGCATGGTTATAGATTATTTGAAAACTAAAGCATAGGAAGAGCAAGGGAAATGGATAACCTCTACTTAGAAAAAAGGCAAAATCTGAATAGTGCAAGGTCATCAAAATAGCACTTGCTGCTTTCTGCCAGCTTTGCAAGGCTTTACTTCAAGGATAGAGAACTTAGTAAACTGATAATGCAATCTTGTACATGTCTGCTCAAAAGTAAGATCTGCTGAATTCAGTGCAGCTTATTCCCAGGTAAGTCTTTGTAGGATTGCTGCAAAATGAGTCTCATTGAGTTTGATGGCATTCATTCCCAAGTAACGTAGTGTGCGCAGGCTTATGGCTTTAATTGTACCTCACTGCAGATGGAATGCAGCAGCCTGAAAGTCATAGTTGATAGATTCTGGAGTCCTCACATTGCCAGTGTACTTCCCCTGTCATCCTTTCAGATGGAAAACACTCCAGAATGGGATTTTAACCGTCCCATTTTTCAGAATGGGAAAACAGTCTTCTGTTTTCCACTGTGTAGATTAACCACCATATTCTAGCTCTCTTTCCTTCTCTCTCATGGCAGATGAACAGTTCTCCTTTAAATATAGTCCTGGAAAACTGAGGGGGAACCAGTATAAAACCATGATGACCAAAGAAGAACTTGAAGAGGAACAAAGGTAAGTTGGCTTCCTATAACTTCAGCAGCCACTTCTAGTGATTTTAATCCAGTTTTTCTTGGTTCCAACTTGCAACCAGGAATTACTTGGCTGGTATATTCTGCCCTTTCCAAAGACTGCAAAGCATTAGGGTATATCTGTGCCTCTCACTGTCCTGGAGCTAAGGAGTGGCAAACTATTTCCCACCACAAGGAACACTGCCCACTTCCTTGGAAACAGATCTCTTGGCTGGGAATAGCTCCATCCATCCATCTTGAGCCTGTCCAAATGGGAAACACCCAGCATTTCCCAGAGTTACAAGACTGACTGTTGTTGTTCTGCTGTCACCAGACATCACACAGGCTTACCTTAAATTTGATCCCCATCAGTTCTGGGCTTCTGTTTCTTGGTCAGGCGGTAGGCTTCTGGTACAGTAAACCCCTTTGTCCTCCCGGGCATTCGCAGCCAAGAGATGCCCCTGGGAAATATGCTGCCTCGTGACACGGGATTGTTTGCACTGGCTATTTTCAGCAAGGAATATGGCCAGGCTGAAGCTGTTTGTTGCAGCCAGTGCCAGCTCCAGATGTTTGAGGGCCCTTGGGCAAAATTTCCATCCCTTCCCCTTCTCATGGACACTGTCCAGCTGCTATTGCTCCTCATCCTCTTTCTTATTCCACCATTGTCTGGACCAGGACGAGAGGCAGGGGAACAGGCAGGTTGCAGTGGGGAAGAGGAGGGGCCTACTGTCAGTGAGATGCTGGGGCAGCGTGGACCCTTGGCAGGTGCCCAACTCAGCCGACCTTTGGCCCTGGCCCTGACCACTACTACTTGAGGTAGTAGCAAACACCCTCCTGCAGTAAAAGAAAAGCTGGAACCCTCTGCTGCTCCATATCTATTAGGTTAAGCCACCCCTTCTATTGAAAAATATTTCTCCCAACCAAACCCCAAAGAGCTGAAAAATTTTCAGGGTCTGTTGCACTAAACCATTTGTCCCAGCACTAGCAATATAACTAGTCCTACCTGGTTCTGTAAGATGTGCAGCACAAGCCTTTAAGCAGGTTGCTGAGAAGTAAGACCTACTGACTACAGCAGGGCTTACTGTTTCAGAAATACTTTTCGGATAACGGCTCTTCAGGAATAGCTTCCTGGGTCCAGCTGGGAGATGGTATCATTTTATGGTCCAGGGTCATTGTCATACTTCAGGGTGCACAACCCATGGGCAACATATGACCCTCTACGACCCCAACATGCAAAAAACAATGCTTTAAAAAAGATTTTCTTATAAAACATTAGAGAAACAGCAAAATTTGGTCAAGTGACTTTCTTCCCTTGCTTGATTATTTCTTCTTGTATTGTTGCTTCATGATGTGGTCAAGAAAGGTTGCTTTGCCTTTTCTCCTTTTTTCTGTGAAGTCTGTTCAGTCTGAGCTATGTAGAAATGTGCGTATTAATGGAGACCTAAGGTCAGACTCATCAATTACCTGACCAGCTATGGCTCACATGCTTGCAAACCTAAATATTTAATCAGTAACTCCTTAAGACTTGAGCCTGGCTTTAAAAGCATAAAATTTTAATAAATGATAATATTGTTGCACTTTTAACATTTGTTCCAATAACAACAAGGACTATGCACTCTTACTTAAGAGCGGAAAATGTTAGCTGCTGCTTTTGCTGGAGCTCAGCCCAGAATTCTGCTGGAACTTTCCAAAAATGATATGGGTCTGAAAAGAATGTCATGATGGGGGTAGGAAGCCAGGTCTAAAGTTGAATCTTGCATTCATATTGATGTTATCTGGTTAAATAACCTAAATTTTCTCTGATTTCTATGAGCAAAATCTGCACTGGAAAAGCCAAAGAACAATCTGGAATCCATTTATAAGTAAACTGTCAGAATTAAGGTAATTTGACCCACTGCAATCCAATGGGGCAGTTTACTTTAGTATAAATGCTTTGGCTTGCTTCAGCTGTGGGTCGCAACCATCTGGAATGAAGAACAGGGATTCTGTCTGCTGAACAGTTGGTAGCAGAGGGAATTTCAGACAAGTTTCATATGCCAGAATATCTGATTCCTTGTCTCTTACTGAGAGATAGCATCCCTTTCCTCTGGTGCATGTCTGCAGCCTAAGCCTATGCCCAGCTGCTGATCCAAGTGATGTAAACAAGCAAGAAAAATAAGTAAATAGTCAAAGAAATAAATGCAAACTGACTGGTAGTCAGATGATTTGTTGTGACTTTGCTTTCTGATAAATAATTATATAATAAAACCACCTACTAACCCCCCACCCAAAGGAATTGAATATGTAGCTTGATTTAAAGAGTTCAAAATGTAAATGTGTGCACACAAACATCTAGTCTTTGGCTGGGAAAAGATAGGGTTCACTTAATGGGCAACCTTATCCAGGTGTGCCTCTGGAAGGGGAAAATGGCTTACAGTTCTTAGTGAAACATGGATCATATTTAAACACCCACTAGCAGGATAAAGGGGATACTGGTGTTATCTGTTACATCTAGATACAGAACAGCAGGTCTCAAAAGAACAGGAAGCCTTCTTGTCCATCCAGTTCTCTGTCCTTGGAAATGGCTTCTTTACTCCGGCTTCTTTAACAGGGCAGGTGATATTAATTCCTGGTACAAGCCTTCAGTCCACAATGTGCCTTTTCTGAAGACAGAGCCTTACATTAGCTTGGGCAGTAAGATAAAATCAAACCACCAAAACCAAACTAATGAATGAATTGCTATTAGCTCCTGAGATTCATCCCAAACCTATTTTGAGGTAAATCTTGAGACCTAGGTAGTAATAACTCTTCAAGCAGTTCTAGGCTTTTACCTGTTGATTTAGTGTTTATAGCTTGCAGTTCTGTTGTAACCACAGGGCTTAGGGCAGCTTGCCTTTTTGCACTGATGACACGCATGAATGCAAAATGCACGACTGACTTGCACTTCAGTATTTTTTCCTGTCTTCAGTTTCCAAAATGTCGACACGTACATTTCCAGGGAATCCAACTTGCTGTGTAACAACAGAATCCAAGTTTACAGAATTTGTTTTCCTTCCTTTGCTGGTCATTTTTCTTTTCAAGTAAACCCTGATGATCAGACATGCTGGACTCTTTTGACTTTTCCCACTCTTGCCAATATGAAAAGTTGCACAATTGCTGGCTAGCTTTTAATGGGTAATGTCAGCAGGTCAAAGAGGATGCCTGCCCCATTGCTCTATTGGCTCCGCACCACTGATTGGTGTGAGATTTTTTTTGTCATGTTTTCCTACTGGATCCCCAGCCTTCACCTTACCTGCGAAAGCCTGGGCATGTTTCTGCTAGTGTGGACCATAGCTTTGTCTTGCAGATTCCTTATCCGAGTGTCCTGAAAAAATGGATAAGGTGATGTTGGTAGGCTTTTAGAAATTATATCTTTAAACGTAGCTCATCCATAGACAGTTTGGTTCTGTGTTCTGCAGCAGCTGTGCACAATTGGCCAATTTATGGCAATACATTGGCATGCGAGCAACATTTAGCAGCTTATTAAATCCTGTAACTACACGGCTAAGGACTCATTTGGAAGTGGACAAGAAACTGACATGCTGCCTATGTTTTGGGACTCTTCTGTTGAGCAGGCCTGCTTTACAGACACACTCATTCCTTGTGAGAATGTTCTTTAAACCAAGGATACTAAGCCAACCCATGCAAAAAAACAAGCCAACGAACCCTAGATGAAATTCTCTGGTCTCCATTCTGAATGATCACAGTTGCTGTTCCATCGAATAGAAAAGGGAATCGGTCTATAGGACAGTTTTTCATAAGGAATGAGTGTGTACTCTTGACACCCTTTGTCTCCTGGGTTGCAACCTCAGTGTTTTTAAACATGGTAGTTTGACAGTGATTCCTGTGCTCTATATTATATTCCAGCATATATTCACCTGGAATACATACTGCTTGCTGTCTCTGTGCAGAGCCCTTTGCAAAACTCCACCCCATACCCTTAGCTTCCCGCATTAATTGGCATTGGCATATTGTTGCATTTCTTCTAACGGATTCTCTGTTTCTTGTCAATGTGCCATATTTTCCGTGTGTGTGTACGTGTGTTTTTCCAAGCTGTAGTTCTGTTTGTTACCTTCTTTCCCACTACTTCTGAGTGCTGGTTGTGGCATCAGCAGTTTTTCATTTCAGGCTTCTCCAAACCATCCTTCTTTCTAGCTGGTTTGTTGGGGCGGGGCTGCCCTCAGGTAAGGAGCTACACTGGATCAGCGGAGGGAAGCCACGCCATCCCCCACCCCACCCCTTATACGCGATCCCCGGCGCGCCCATGCACCCACACACATGCGCGTGCTTTCACCCCCCCCCCCCCATTCAGGCAATACTAGCATTTTGATGTGACCCGGGTTTGCTGCGTTTATATTACAGGATTGAGCTGACCTCTGACCTCACATCCCTGTAGCAAGTACCTTAGGTCCTCGGCCACAAACTTTCTTACAAACCTTTTTGGTAAGGAGACGATGCTTCTTAGAAGTAGTGGTACCACCTGTAACCTCTGCTAATGTGACTTGAAACTAAAGTTGACCATGTTCCCCTCCCCTCCCGCACCTCCCACCTTCCCTTTTCCCTCTTCATAACTAATTAATTAGTCTCCTTCCCCTCTGTGCCCCCATTTCATTTACCATGAGCACCACAAATCAATAGAATGAAACAGGATCTGCTGGCCTTTCCCTCGTGGAAAACATGCTGGCCTTTTCCATCTATTCCCTGGATTACTTCTCCCAGATACCAACAGTGCACATACCGAGAGTGAGCCCCAGGAGTTCAGGACCTTTCAGAGCTTTGCCCCGCGACTACAAATGGCCACCTGGCCTCCCAGATTTGAAAGTGCCAAAATTTCAGTCCAATTGACTGCGTTGCCATAAGTTGGAGAGTGTATTTCTCTCCATTCCGCATTAGGTTGAGTTTCTGACTGTTACTATGACCCCCTTTTGTGCCTGGAGGAACTGTCTCCCAGGATTAATGGCATGCAGCAGAATGGGGCTATTACTACAACATAATCATGGGTGATGTGTTTATATGTGAGGGGCTAAAGAGAGGTCATGGCTTACCTGAGGCCATCTAGGGAATTGATAGCTGCACTGAGATCCTGCATGAAGCTGGTGTTCTCAGCTGATTCAGGATACCAGTGGAGCAGTCTAATCAAAGCTAAGTAAGTGCGTACATCTCCCCTGTTTAAATCATTGGGGTCTTAGAGTGCTTAGCTTTGGTTTGATTATGTCCCAGGATAAATATATTTGCATTATAGGATACAGTGCCCCCCCCCCATCCATTAATTTTGTTGCCCCTAGCTGTCCTGTTACATGCAATCTGGTCTTTGGCTTGAATAGACTCTGCAAGCCAATGAAATGGTTAATTTGTTGCATAGGCATCAAAATTAGAGGGAGGATATTAAAATTCATCCATTCATTCTGTGGCGCCCAATAGCCAAGGCTCTTTGGGCAGTTCACACAATTGTATGTGAACATGATGAAATGCAATATGAAAGTTTAAAGCTATAAAAAAATAAAAAAATAACAGCAGCAATACAAAGATTTAAAAGACAGTAATGTAATCGAATCCGAAACACTAAATTGCATAGAGAAATACAAAGGTCTTCAGTGGGTGCCAAACACTAAATTGCATAGAGAAATACAAAGGTCTTCAGTGGGTGCCTAACAAGTACAGTGTAGCCAGTACTCAGTTAAGTCTCTCTGCTGCTCAAGTCCGCAGCTGGGGTGTGAGCAGCCAGAGACAAGGAACAACAAGAGCAACAGAGGCACCCGGACCAGGGCAAGAGGACTTCAGGAAAGGCAGAGTCCCAAAGCAGGGCTTCATGGCAAGGCCAAGGCATAGTCCTGGTACAGGAACTACAAGACTGTATGAGAGCAGAACAAGGCATGGTCAGGAACAAGCCAAGGGTCGAGAGCCAGGGGGTCAAGCAGAGGTGCAGGTACCTTGGACAGGAGACCAGGGTGGGAGACAATGGCACTGCAAGATACACGAGAAAACAGGGACCGGATGCAGCAAGGGTGAGCTGAGATGCAGGAGCTGAACCACAGCTCTCAGGAGGCCCTGCATTGCTGGGGTAACAAGGCAGGATACACAGACAACGTAAGATACAGCTCAGGCAAGAAGCTGGTACAGCAGCAAGGCAACACAGAAAGGCAGGAAACACAGTAGGAATGGTTAAGCGAGATGCAGGCGCAACAGGTGAACCTGTGCTGATGAGGCAACATGGCAAGGCAGGCTACACAGCAAGATGCAGGCAGGATGCAGGCTCAACAGCAAACATAGCCCTGTGCTGCACAGGCAACAGAGCAGGATCCCAAAGGACCGGCATTACTGGGCCCAGTGCTGGAGGGAAGAGCTTGCTCTTACATAGCTCTTCTGCCAGGACTCTCAGTTGGCACTCGTCAGTAGAATGAGAGGTCCAGCAGGACTTGGGACTGATCCTGCAAATACAGTGGTGGTGCTTGTTCTGGTTCTGGCCACCAGAACAGCCCAGATACTGACATCTGGGGAATTCATTCCACCATTGGGGTGCCACAACAGAAAAGGCCCTCTTTTAAGTAGCCCCCACCTCACTTCCCTTGTCAGAGGCTTTTAGAGAAGGACCACTAAGGATGATTGTAGGGTCTGGTGATTAGGGTCTAACATAATTTCAGAAGGCATTATGTTTCAGGTAACCTGGCCCCAGCCATTTAAGACTTGGAATATTAAATACTAGTTCTTTGAATTGGACCAGAAATAGATTGGCAGGCAATATGGAAAAAAGCAGCTGCATTATGATTATGTTGTCCAGTCCTCATTGAACAAGTCACTTGCCTAACAGCTCCAGAGATTATAATACTATAAAAAAGAGCAACAAGCTAATCTGTATTATTATAATTAAGATGTATCTCCCACTTGTTTCCAACAAACTCAAAGTGGCTTACATCATTCTCCTCCTCTTCCTCCTGCTCTCAATCTTATCCCCACAAGAACAGCCCTGCGAGGTAGGCTGGGCTGAGAGTCTGTGACTGACCCAAAGTCACCCATGGCTGAGCGGGAACTGGGACTCCGATCGCCTGTCCCAGTTCTGCGCTCTTAACCACTACACCACACTGGCTTTCGATTATTAAGCGTTGATATAACACTTTCCCAGAGTTCAAAAACATTTCACATAGAGTATCCCAAGAATCCTTTCAACAAGCCAGTAAGGTAGATCAGCATTATCTTTCCCACACTGACACGTCCTGCAACAGCTGGAGGTTGGACCCGGTGGCCTTCTGGCCTCTTCCAACTCTACCATTCTATGATTCTTTGACCTGTGGAGTGGAGCTGTGAGGATGGCTTCCCTACGGCCACTGAGTGAGTTCACGGTAGCAGCCAGACATGGCATAGTCTCTTAGCCATGCAAGGCACAATCCTGTGTGTGGCTAGACAGAACAAAGTCCTACAATTCCTAGCATTCCTCACCCAGGACTTCTTTGTCTCAACACCCTCAGCTGCAATAACTCTAATCTGCTTTCTCGAACAAAACTCAAACAGCCTGTGTTTTTAATGTAGGTTTGCTATTAGCAGGTGAAGCTTTCCATATCATGGGATTTAACATTAATTGCTGGGGATAAAATTGTTGTTCAGAGGACAGCTACAGGAACTGTATTAAAATCTGGCTAGCAACATCAGTAGCGCCCGACACTGAGAGATTTCTGGACATCTCAGTTTTCTGATCATGGACAATTTTAATCTGACAAATAGGACAATGTGTTAAACACATTCAGCATTTTACAGGGAGTTCTGTGGGAAAAGAATGCAGAGCTGGTCCAAGCAAGAAGAAACAGACAACAGCAGCACAGTTGGGAGATGGTGAAGTCTGTGGCCTGCGATCTTGCTAAGGAAAGTAAGCCAGGGGATCAGTCCAAGGTTAGAGCATAATGGCACAAGCAGGGATTGTAGTGGGGAAGAAAGACCCAGTTCTGGGAGCAGAGCATACTGTGATGGAGGAAACGGGAGTCAAGAGCAGCCTTTGCTTTCAAGGAAAAACCACACGCTAAGTCCAGACAAGGCATGCACAAATGGGGAATTCCCTCGCTCTGCCCAGCATCCCACCATGCCCATGCCCAGGCTCTGCCTAACAAAGCCTTTCTCTGGGCTTAGCTCCATGGCACAGCCTGAGAACCAGTATCCATAGCCAGTGCCAGTTTGTGGAGGCCCTTAGAAAATAGGCTCTCACTGGGAGTCCCTTAAGTGCACCCCGTCCTCCTCCCATGCCAGGATTTCCCCTGCCCCTTTGCTTGCTTTCCCCTTTGGGTCCGACGGGGATCGTCCTCCAGGAAGAGCAAGGACCCAGCAGGAAGAGGTTGCTGCCTCTCCTCCTAGCTTCTCTTGCTGTGCTCCTGAAGCTCAGGAAGGAAGAACAGGAGGATTTCTAGGCCCCAGTAAGGGCCTGGCTGTGCCATCCCTGTTACATGGACAATCCCCCAGCACAGTCTGTGCAGCTCTTCTCCAGCAATCTTGGGCATTTGGGATTATAGCCGGAACCCACAGTCCACAAGTTTCTTCATATGGCAAGCTTGCACTTAAACTAGGTTAGTCCCTTTGGCTCCAAGGGAACAAACATGCAGTTCCAGTCCTGAACGTGCTGCCTGAAAGGACATCCAGCTAATTATAATGGGCTCTGCATTAGGTATTCCTTTATAACATGTTTTATTTTTCTTTCCCCCACAATAGAAGTCTAAGTATACATGCATAAAGCAGCCGCAGTGGGTGATTTGTAGATTATCCCGTATAGCTCCAGTTCTGCTTATATTGGCATCTGATCCTGCAAAAATACAAAGAAGGCTTCCAGATAGGTTTGCGATTAAGCTGTATTTTTGCTATTTTCTTGGGAAGAAAATATAAAATTCTTGATGTTTTAGCACCCCCTTTAGGTCACAGCAAACCTTTCTGATCTGAAGCCTCACTGTAAAATCCCCTCAACCAGCTTGCATCAAATGGGCCCATCCCCAACAGAGGTACACTTGTTTCCCAAGAGACCTTCCTCTTAGGGAGCCCTTGGCACTGTAGTTTGGGAGTAGTGTGGGGGTAGGAATAATTCACAAATCTTGGGCACTTCTCAAGGATCCTTTGGGGAAGCTGGAAGGGTCAAACTGCTATAAAATAAATGCAGGCTGTTCCATCCAGCTAAGGGGGTGGGCAGATGGTGCCAGGGGGTGGGGGCAGGAAC